TATGGTAAAAGCAAACATGAAACATTGTTTTCAATCAGTACAAAATCCATCAATACAAACTCCTGGAAGATTATGGTCCTGGACAAAACTATATGGTGGAAGAATATCTATAAAGGAGATGAGCACACTGAGAACCAAAGGTTTTAGAAATAGAGTTAAAGAAAGAAAAAAAGAAATAAAAAGAAAGACATCTTAACTTGGTATATGCAACACATGTACTATACCTGAAGAGATATTCTCTGAGACAACACCTGCTCAGCCTTAGATATTTTCTGAGACATCACCAGCTCAACCTGTCTGATGGTGTACAGGTTTCATATTAGTCTAATCAGACCTTCAGATTCAAAGAAATCAAATATTCCCAACCGCAAGGGATAGCCAGTGAATGACACAATATTTGTGTGTCATGTATCATTTAACTAATTCTAAAGGATTAGAATGAATTGAATTGCTCTCAATTTGCACATTGATACAAAGAACAAAGCATTAGTGTTCTGTATTGAAACCACTCAAATGCAGAATTTACTACATATTATCACTGCCCTAAAGAATCAAGGAAGACAGATATTTTTTTTTTAAATAAAGGAGAGACCAATACCCATAAAACACAGAAAATATTGTGTTTGAATTTTAAAAGGCATTGTTAGCCTTAACACAGCTTAAACTTGTATAGTTATATGTCAGTTCAATTTAATATCTTTTACAGGACAATGGGTGGAAAACATATGTGACATAATCAAGAATGCCAAAGGTGCAGAATGTAGATTTCATATACTGTAGTGTGTGCATACATTATACTGCATTTGATAATCGTCTGTTTCAAACAAGGAAAAGCATGACTGTTTATAGGGTGTGGGGACATTTTTATTCTTTAGTTTAAAATGCTTCACAAAAATACTGGCTAAATGAAATCGAATGTTTTCTAGTTACAGTTGCATTCAGCAAACTGTTAATACAGTACACACAAGGGCCATTCAACAGTTCCACACTTCTTCCAATAAGATCAATTGATCATCTAAATTAGTTGTAAGGCCAAACAGACCAAGCATTAAGGCCAAGCATTAATTAAAACAATATTACCCATAACCTTATTGTCACGAAGTGTCTTTCAGGACCCTATACAGACAGCGCAATCCAGAAGGGAGTGAACAGACATGGGCTGGTAGACGAACAGGGGGGCGTGACGAAGGTGTTCGGGGGGACATGGTCCAGGGAAACAAGCCCGAAGGGTGTTCGTAGGGAAATCCGTGGGGAGGCAAATGTCCAGAGCCAGGTGGTCCATCTTTTACAAAGACAAATGGAGTTAAAAGCCAGAGCGGGATTCAGCGAAGGGTAGGGGGAATAAAAGGGGGTAATGGGGCCAGGAGCTCCCAGCCCCGGACCTAAATGGTCAGGACACCGTTGTGAAGCCTATGCCATGGAGCCCCTCCAGAACTCGCTGGTAGGTGGGCTTCTAGGCGTCCATCTTCCAAAGCTGAGTCCAGATTGGCAGGAACATCTGGCTCTTATAGGATGGGGTCAGGAACCGGAGGCAGGTCCAGGAGATCAGGTCATTGAGGAAGGGCTGGAGCATCCTTAAGAGGAGGGGTTTACGATCGTGACACTTATAATACTTCATAATGTGCATTTTTCTTCTTTGTTTTGCTATAAATAACTAACTCCCAGAGTAGTAGGTGGTACCATTTTCTAGTCATACTGTACATATTGCATTTTATTTACTTGGTAATATGTTTTTTTCTTCTGAAATCTGAGGAAAATGTACATGAGGCATTTAAGAAGGATACAGCCAAACCATCTGCCTTTTTTACAGTTCAAGCTTTTTCACAGTTCAAGCTTTGCAAAGCCTTTTGCACAACTTTCTGATGCCCATGTGCCCAAGACCCTGCAAGGTTTTTGTTGTTGGGGAACTTAAGAATGGACTCTGGTTGATTCAAACACATCCACCATCCCTACATTGCTCAACAATTTTGACCTATTAACTCATGGAAATTGAATTGACCCACCATACGGTATGTCTGGGCTATTGTGTTCAGCTTATACCACAGAAGAGTTCTCTGGTTAAGCCACCATGGTGTCCCTCCCCCTATCCATTTTCTGGTGCTTGGGAAAGACTCACAGAGTAGGAGTCACTTGAGTCCTGGATACAGTTACCTGCAAAGATCTCCGAGTTGGTTGACAGTTGACAGACTTTTTTTTTAGTACATTTATAAATGTATTTATTGATTTCAAAGTCCAGAACTTGATGTCACTATGCTGATGATGAATCATCTTCATTGGCCAGTTCCATCCAATGCAGGAAGAAGTTTGTTCACTTATTCAGGCTTCTGTCTTTTGTGTGAGTGGGACAGTAAAAGTGGAGAAGCAAGGTGGTGCAGTGGTTAACAGTATTCAATTTGTGTGATGCTATCTTCATGCAGTTTATATGGCTTTCCTCCAGTTTCCTTCCACCATCTAAAGACCTACTGGTAGGTTAACTGGCTTTTGAGAAATTTGTCCCTGGTGCGTGTGTGTGTTTATGTCTGTGTGTGCTCTGTGATGGACTGTCTCCCCGTCTAGGGAGTATACTGCCATGCGCCCATTGCATGCTGGGATAGGCTCTGGCTCCTCTACCACCCTACAGTATATCGAATAAAACAATTAGGAAAATGAATGGATGGTTAAAGAGTACATAAAGCTTTATTCTTGCACTGGAAGAAGAGTTTTATAATAAACTGTGAGGAAGAGTCAGTTGAATTCTGAATTTTATCAGAGCATTAGTGTCTGTGAAAGTATTCATGAGCTCCATTGTTGCATTCTCTTTCTCAAAAACTTCCAAATTTGCAGTCGACAGGTTTTTAAAATAACACCCTGGCAAAAAAAAATAAGCAATCGCATCCTTTTTTAGGTGGTTCACATTGCAGAATTCTTATGCTGTTTTTGTGCTGTTTTCAGCATTTCTAAATCTCGGTGTACAAATTATCTCATGCTTTCAGTTTGTTCATCTGCCTTACTCTATTGCACAGTATAAAGGGGAAAAAAATACAAGATTTTATACAGTCTGTGCTCCAGTTGCACCCACTTCCTCTGTGGGAACAGCTGTCAAAACGTTGCAGGATTACAGTGCACCGCAAAGTTACGGCTCACATTAGAACCTGGCACAAGGCAGGAAATAGGGAGGGGTTAGCCGTGCTGGGAATATTCAAGTGACTTGATTCCTCAGGGCATGGGGAGTAAGACCCAAGAGAGGCACAGCTAACACTAAGGGCTTCTGCTTTAATTCCAGTAATTCTGCTACACGTGTAGAGGATATAATGGGCTTATGCCACAATGTTTCAGGCATTGAAACAGATGTGCCATAAATCACATTTTATTTTTACTGTCCGATTTAGATATCAATTAGATATCTCTAAGGTATTTTAAGAGCTTATTATATCAAAATCCTGTTTAGGAATATGTTCCTGTAAATTGGAACCCACTCTGTAAATGTTGTAGACATAGAATACATTATTTTAAAGTGCGTAATACAATTAATGCAGCAAACTTTGCTTTCTGTAGAGATCCAATGATTGAAATCCTTGTTTGTTTCCCTACAAAAATATTGTTCAGAATGAAAAATGGTTTAAATTTTAGAGAAAAGCAACAAGAGAAAGTAGATAAATGCATGCTCCAGACACACCTCACATCTGACTAGTCTGTTCTTTCAAAAATAATAACAGGTTATTTGGACCTAAAGGAAAATCTTGTGAAGAATGGGAAATAACCTTTTCACAGGCTTATTTTTTTTGACGGCAGGAAGGGCTAGTCACTATCTATTTAACGAGTGTTGTATGAACTAGGAATAGTGCCTCTTTCCTACCCAACATCCACAACATGTTTCCCCTGTCTAACTGATTGAGGGTCACATTCAGTAACACTAATTCAGGACTTGTAAGAGATTTAATTTATTTGCTCACCATGTAGGCTGAAATGTGATTAACTGCATTAGTATGACTGTGGGTTTTTAGAATAACATCCTTTTTAGCTCCAGGATTTAACTCACCAGTTAATGGTTACTGATTAATGATTGAAAAACTTAAAGCTAAAAAATTAATAATGACACTTAAAAATAATTTAAAAATTCATTTATTATTTCCAGATTTTCTTGCCTTTGTTATACAAAGATGTTAAATAACTTAAATACATTCTTACCAGTCATTCAGAATCAGTTTATATACCTACAAGCTATACACATGAGGTAGAGGAAAATAATTTAGGTTCCCATAAGACACTGAAAAAAGAGGAAAAGGATAAACCTTTGTTAGTATTTTATCCCCAAAAAGGACAATGATATTTTTTTAAGGCAGCACAAAACAAATCCCAAGACTAAATATTTTGATTGACAGGCAAACAGTTTCAACTTTTACAATCAAGAGTACATGTACATAGATCTGAAACTAATTATTGGTTACTTAAAGACTGTAAAATAAAATTAAACATGACAGTGCTCTGTGGTATTTTATGGTGCCTACAAAAATGAATTAATTACATTCTAATATTAGTTTTACTGGAATGTATATATGAATATATGTATATATCCAGTATTACTGTTATGAACATATTTTCTTACATAAACAAAAAACAAATCTCGTAACACATAATAAATGGGAAGAAGTGTGTTGCATTTCACATTCTTTTTTCTTTTCAGTAACAGACAATATTTTATGGTCCAGAAAATAATTTTATATGACACAATATGAATTAATGTGTAACAATAAAGTTTTAATGTTGCCATAAATAATAAATGAAATATTTTAGGTGAAAGGATTTGTTTTGTGCTGAAAACTATATTCTTCTGGAAACAAGTTTTAAAAAGGAGGTGCAACAGTTATTTTATATCAAAAGCCTATACTGTCTCAAAGTCTCAACCTCAGAGGAACTGTACCTCTTAAGCCCACAGAAGGCCTTCGTAAAAAAATATGGACACAACAAAAGTTTTGACTTTACAGTATATACATTAAACTCATGCTCATTATTTTCAAAAATAATTTAACTTTCTCATTTTATTTTTTGTACAAAAAAGCACATTTCAGATATTTTCAAACAACTAGTTACAAAATCTTCAGCCTATACAAGCTTGACTTTCAACCAAATTCCGTCTTCCAATTTATGATAAAAAAGTTGTGACAGATGCACTCAGAGATGATTGAATAAAAATACAATGCTTTGGATTAAAATAATAACAATCAGACTGAATTTATAAAACAGCAAAATTGCAGGATGTATGGTCATCAATTTTTCAGAACAAGAGACTTTCTTGTCTAACTGTTGAAATTACCATATTTTCAGATGAATGCAATAGAATTACAGAAAATGGATACAACAAACATAATAAGGAAGACATCGTTTGTTGCCCAAACTCTTCACATCAGTTCAATGAAAATGGTTGTGCTTAGTTTGGTGTTTGTTTAGCTTGTTTAATTCACTTGAAACATCACCAAACTGTTTATTGGAGGACTTAAGTTATTGAAGTAGTTTTTCTAACACTCAAAAAGTACTGCTGCGAGGACTCTGTAAAACCACAACTTGAGGCAAAATCAAAACCTGTAAACTGTGCCCGAGCAACAATGTACATGCTTTGTGGATCTGTGAGTTGTGGTGCAGGCATTTCTGTTGAAGGTCTGCACCCAGCCATTATGGTTTTAAAATATCATTCAATGCTCTGTTCATTCTGAAAGTGAGTGATTGAGTTATATATTAATTGGCTGGGTTTTGTATCCAAACACTACCTTTTTGACAATTCTCTTATTCGAATTACAGGCATAGCAAATCAAAATCCCTTTCACCTAGAACATTGTTCCCTGTAATGCAACTTTAGTGCACTTGTTGTGCAGTAATTTTCTTTAAGGCTGGTACATGCACTACCAGTGCCTAATGTAGTTTATTAGTATTACAGTTCATTCCCTGCCATGCTAATTAAGTATTATACATTATACACTGGTACTCCCAGTCCAGGACATGATCACACAAAAGTGAAGTTTTTTTATATATATGTTATTTTCAATTGACAAATATGAAAGAAAGTTTTCAAATCCTTTACAGAACACAGTTTTTCAAATTTCATTCTTTTTCACAAACATGATGTGACAATTCAATATGTCATTGTTGCTACATATAAACAGTGATCAAAAAACATTCTAATTTTCTAGTGTTTTGCAAAAATGTGTCCAAACATTTACCCATGAATGTGCTGGTATTCCATCACATCTCCCTCACATTTCACTAGGCCACTTTTTGGAAATGGTATAAAATATTGTTTGCGTATGTTTTCCATTGCACTTAACCAGTCATGATAATTAGATAACCTCTGTGTGCTATCTGTTTCTTTTGTCTTATGTTTTGATATATACCTTTTTAGATATTTTAACAATCTATGATGTTGCTGTTATTTGTGACTGGAAGCAGACAGGAGCTTAAAAAATAAATGTTGCACCAAAATACCCCTCACCCACCCTGTTCTCCACCATCTTCCCAACATCCTCCTAAAGTTGCCTGTGAGTTTAAAGCATGTGCCTCACTCTTGTCTGTATACCACAGGAGAATAAACCTTAACTATTTACAATACACACAAAAAGCAATATGTCCACATTATATATAAATACAGTTCTTTAAATACTTAAAGAGAAAGCTTTCAGGCTTCAGTGCGTGAATGGGGCTATATTACAATATAGGGTCTCTCACTCAGTAGTTCACTCACTCTTGCCTAAAACAACAAAAAAGTTAATATATAATATATCTATATATTTTGTCAGTTGTTTTCATATGCTAATAATATATACTGTTTTTTTAACATAGTCATATACTCGGTTTTACGTACAAAAAAGCTTGGATGTGCAGGTAAATCTTCTTGCTCACTTAGAGTGTGTGTCAATTTTCTGGTACGGACGTTTGACAGTGGATGACAGTACATCAACAGAGCAAGATCTGAGGGGAGGCCTCTGTTTGAAATGTTACTTAGCATTGCTGAGCATCCACTCTCTCATGTATTTATGTAGGAAGTATATTGAAACCTCTGAAAGTGCCTAGTAAGTAGGATCAAATGCAATTAAAATGTTTTTGAAAGGCGTAGGGCGGTATTGCATATGCCATCCTTTGTCACTCATACTTAAAAAATAATTTAAAACATGTTAAAATGTGATTGTTTAAAAAGGTAGATGATTAGCGTTTGTGGCAAATCAGTGTTCATGTTGGTATCTAGATAGGGTGTAACTAGGGTAGTCTTGGGGTCAGAGTGCAGGGCCTAAAGTTGGAGTTGTGTGCAATTAGACCTTAATTAAAACAAGGCATCAATGTGGATGTTCACATGCCCATACCAAAGCACGTGCATAAAGTTTAGAAGAGCGGTCTTTAAACTTTACTGGCAGGTGACACAGAAAAAGCTTAAGCCCAGGAAAACTAACAGTGAACCTAGATGATTTACTTTAGTTGGACCACATACAGTAAGTTACCACTGGTTGAAGTCACCTATGAATGACTTCTAATGCAGTCCAGGGCTTACATTGTGTTAAAGAAATAATACAAAGGAATTTACTATTTGCTTCTCAAACTTAATCTTCAAAAATCAATTGGAGTCAAAGCTTCTGGCTCAGTACATACTGTATGTCTAGATATTTGGGGGATTTTTGTGAATTAGTTGGAATAGACTTCAAGGAACAGTCAGGCTAATGGATTAGTGTCATCTCCTTTGTCTCACATCATATCAAACTCTTTTAGGTTTGCTAATTTTTTAAGTAAAATAGATTGACCACAAAGGATCATTTGTTTAAATTGCACTACTTAAAGGCTACCGTTAAAAGTTATAATGTTGTCAATTTACTTTGGAAATATTCTAATGTTTTGTTTTGAGTAATTCTCCTAAACTTTGGCATGCTCTGGATTTCCACTTTAGACAATGTGTGAACTAGGGTAACAGTAAACACTGGGCTGCTTTCAATAAATAAATATTAATTTAGCTCCAAACCTGAATATAACCAGAGGCACATTTTAGTTTTTTTTCAAAGGCTAAACCTTACCCTCAAACGCTCTTAATTTAACCATCTGAATCACAGCTTTAGGCCCCAGTCAGCTGTCTTAAAAGAATTATGCTTATTAACAAAATGTTATCATTTCATTGAAGTACTAAGTGGGATTACGATACGCATCCTGTGTATTGTACTGATTGTACTGTAATTTCTAGCTCTTGGAATAGGGCTGTGAGAAGGTGTGATTTTAACAATAGCCTTATGAAAAATGAAAATCATGCAAAGATTATCTGAAAGAATGAGGGGTTAAGAAGAGAATAAAATTAGTGAGGAGCCTTTACAAAAGAGTTTATAGCATTTCCACTTATTTGGTTCTTTAGGTTCTGTTTATTTAGATTATCCTATATGTCCATTACCTGAATTATGAATTAAGAAAATTTCCATGAATTTACAATGTAGAGATGGCATCTTTTTGAGAACTACTTCAATTAATTTGGTTACCACACTTCTGCACAACTTTCTCTTTTATGCCTATATTAAAACGTCACTAAAACAGAGACTGTATAGACAGCCTTCAGTGAAATAAAGTTTTTTTCAGAAATAGTTCTTTCTCAGATTCTCTGTCGGTCAGAATTGCCAAGAAGATATGGTGAACTGCAGTCTCCTAAAGCTTTTAAAATAAGTAAAAATGCATCTTTTTCTGAAAACAATTATCAGAACGACAATATCAAGACTGTATGCAGGAGACCGCTTTTGGCTACCTTAGAGTTTGTTTAAGAAATAGCTACTATACACTGTATCATTTTTTTCATTTTCCTCAAAACAATAGTATCTAGGGACAGGATATCCTCTGAATTATATTATCAGTACATTTATAGATTGAGAGTTTTAGTCCTTACTAAAGAGGTTAGTTTTACTAGATAACATGTCCCTTCTGAAATGGGAGGATAACTGTGATCATTTCAAAGTCCATCTGAAAGCCCTTGGACAGGATAAATTGAGAAATGGTGCCTCACTGGTTTTGTTCCAATGAATGGGTTTCACAAAGACAACTTGTAAGTTAAAAAAAATGGCAGCTTAAAAACCATTCCTTGTCAGAATCACTGATACACATTGGTACTGCATTAGTTTAGGCCTGACCAGAGCAAAGACAGATACAGCACATGTTAATACCTATTTAAAACTACTAAAAATAGAAGGATTACTCCCACATAATACATACACAAACTCCAACTCACACACTCATTTTGTGTTCTGTAGTCATGACATAACTTGCAGTACGTAAGTCTGCTTAATTTGAATGCCTCCTGTTAAAACTGGAATGAAAAGGAAAAAAACTGCCCATGGGAAAAATGGAAAAACTGGCCTTAAACAATCAGGAATTCCCCTCCGGAAAAATAAACTGGCTGACTGGCAAGTAAAAATGTTGCTACAATAATGTGGTATTAAAAGCACAATGATTACGATGACTTTTTGATGGTGATTTTTTTCTTACAGCTGAATTTGTTTTTGCATTGGTTTTAGCATTGCCTGCTCTTTCTAAGAACTCTTTTCCTCACTATTCTATGACATGCTTTGTGTTTGACATGCTAGAAATTTTATACCAAAGTGTTATGAATTTCTGACTTTCTGCCAACACTGGTAACTAGCTCTTTTGTTAGTTAACAGCAAAGAGTTCAAAAACCAACCAAATAAGCAGCTGCAACACCTGTCCCTTACATCATATGTTTTGCTTGTGACCACATAGTAATTGCTTAGAAAGATGTGAAAATCAAGGGAAAATATGTTGTAGTCATTATAAGGAGCAAAAACACTCCTTATAATCCAAAATCTAAGCATGCTACAAAATACCAATTTTTCACTACAATTTAAAAAATACTTTAACTTTTCACTTGTAATTTGATTTCAATGCCAAATTGAAATAACAGTATAAAGACAGGTCTCTGGTATTTCTGGGACAAAAAAATAATTTGAATGTTTAATTTGGTTTTATCTCTTAAAATCTCTTTCAGAACCCTCATATATAATATATCCTAGCATTCTTTTACCTATCTTGGGCTACAGTTTTGATATGGCCTTTAAAAAGGATGATAATTGAATGACATGACTGAAGGAACATTCTGTGCTCTAGTTGTTTCACTCTTTAATTTGCTTTTTTGAAAACTACAGTCCTTTTTTAACACAAGAAGACTGGCATACCACAGAACCAGGCCAAAAACCTCAGCATTCAAACAAGGCAGAAAATACCTTATACTAGCCCATAGGCTATAAACTGAACATCCGTCCCTAAACCCACTTGTGTTGTGTAATGGAAGACTACTGTATACATCTGTATACCAATGACACTTTTCCTCTCAAACTGAGAGATGTCAGAACATGGTATGGTTGCTATCTAATTGCTATCTGATTGCTGGAAAAATATTCAGCACTCAGTTGACAGCCAGTGGGGTGTAATTAACAATGTACTTAAGATCCTTATCATGAGGTAAAATCATACAGGACCCATTGATGCCACTGCTGTAGACCTTAAAACCCACTGAAGTTAGATCATTTGTCCCTCAATGTTTGATTCCTTCCCAGTGTTGCCATAGCTTAGTTTAGCACGGAGTCCAAACATAGTGGTTTCAGTCAATCCCTGAATATGAATTTGTGAGTTTCAGGCTAAAGAACAGCCTTAAAGTTGACTGGCATTAAAATTAAATACATATGTGTACTAGTATCCTCCTACAATGGCATTCAGAAGCACTAAAACAAGTCAGAGGAAAATAAATTTTATAATCTGTGTAATTTGCACATAAAGGAGTAGTCACAAAGTTGTGTTTTTATGACAGAAAATGTCAACACTGGTCTTAATTACAGTTGAACAAAACTACACCTTAGTTCCATAAATTATTTCCACAAAGAGAGAAAGAGAGAGCATGAGATTAATTGCTTTTCCAAAATGCCTTGTCAAAGACCGCACAAAAACTCCAGTAGTTTGTGTGGCTAGTGGTTTTTTCTTATATTTAAAAAGTGGTAAATCTAAAATGTATATTTATTAATATACCCTGTTGCGTCACACAGTTTCTTTCTTTAGTTATCTTGAGCACCTTCAATTCGTTAAATTCCTCTTTTCCCTCACCTGTACATTCCAGTCAGAGTTAGTTTCCACCAAAGCATTAGCCAGCATTCCCGTTCAACGATATTGTTTGGTCTTTGACACTTTTCCCATGCTAAATGCTAGATATAAACCATGATCCCTCTATTCAGGGCCAACATGACCCATGACTGGATTCAACTGCATTTGTTCCCGTTGCCCTTGAGGGATATGGGAGATGGAGTGAGAGAGTGTCATTTTCCCTCAATCTGAGCGTCCCCTGTCACAGATTCTCTCAACAAGGTCACTCTCGCTTGAGGACTGCGACCAAACTGATGGACATCTCATAACAACTTGTGGAAACTTCTCAAAGTGCTTATATAGTTCTATATCAGCTGGTTGCGTAATGCCTCTAACCCCCGGTTTTTGTGTCTGTAAGGAGAAGTTTCTCAATTTAAGACAGCTGATTAGCCCATTCTCAGTCCTGTCCAGAATGGGGAAGGGGAGTGAGCTTCTTTGCTACTCTTTACAGGTATATACCTCCTCTCTCTGTGTGCACTGCTTGCATTCCACATAGCAGCACCAGCGCACCTGGCATTGACACGGCCTGGTTACCACTCGGCTCTGGGTATTGTGACCTCGACCACAGCAGATGCTGTCACAGTTCTTGTCCTTATAGCATTTTCTCCCCGAGGTGCCCGGGGAGTATTTGCTCATCCTGCAAAAGCTAGGTGAGTCCTCAATGTGGATGAGGTCCATGGTCCTGGGGATCTGATCACTGTGGCCTGGGGAGGGCTGAGCCCTGGCAGGCGAGATGTCTCCTTCCCCTGTGGCCTCATTAGTGGAGCTCCCCACTTTGAGTGAGGTCTCGTATCTCTGCTTCAGCTGCTTGCCAATCTCATGGAAGGGAGAGAGCTGCCTCCAGCATGTTTGGACTGTGCAGGAGCCTGACACTCCATGGCACTTGCAGGTTGTCTCCACCCCGGCTTTGATCACCTGAGAGGAGAAGAGGAGATTTGAAAAAAAAAATGGAATAGCTAAGTCAAGAAGTTCTTAACAGCACATCACTGACAATCCGCAGTCGAAACAGTGAGTAGATTCTGATGGTCTTGAACGTTTGTTCTTACTAAAAAAGAAACAATTAACTGAAATCAAGTTTGCTTTTATTAACACTGTACTTCAACCCCTGCACCTGCTCCACAAGCAGTTTTTAGGATTTAGAAGTTCACTATATTCAATTTCTTGTCATTGCAAAAAGAAGACATTTCACTGTATTCAAATTTTTTGTTACACAATAAGTTACTATTACTAATGGAGTTATTGTCATATTGGATGACCTCATGTTGATGTCTGTTGGTAAGATGCACAGGAAGAAAATGTCTAGCCAGCTCCCTCATGGACTAATTACTGTGTCAAAAAGGGAAAAAAAAAACATTGGTCTATTTGAATTAAGCTTCTAATAAACTTGCTGCACTGTATTTGGAAATTCAAGGTTAATAATATTGTGCCTGAGAACATGACGGGTCTTAATTAAACCATCACTTAGTTCTACCCAAGTAGAACTAATTCAAACTCTTTAATATTGTGCTCTTTAATTAATGGACCACAAAAAGAAAGGAGAGGAGAGAGGAGGGGGTTAGGGATGGATTTACTCTTTAATCATAATTCTCAGTAACTTCCACCTTATTATGAGAATTAGGGGGCTTGATTGTGCCTACTGTTCCCTAATAAGAAGGACCTGAAAGAGAATTTCTTTAGGAGGGGAAGGGAAATTGCTTTTTTAATAAACGTCCCATTGAGCTGGTCCTTGTGGATAATGGAGGGCCTGCAGAGATTCTTGTTTTAATTACTGAGCACATGCCCTGGCCAAGCTCTAACATTCTTTGCCAAGTCTGATTGAAAACATGCGCTGAGACCAAGCAAGGGTGGATCTTGAGCCTTTTGCTCAAATGTAGGCCACAATGAGTTTCTCTGGGCCAAACTGGGCTTTGGCCAGAAGTGACATTGGTTTCATCCTAATTGCTCATTTTAGATATATCTTATGGCAGTCTGAATGAAGATTGACAATACTGGTAATGATTTTATAAAAATACTACACATGCATCCCACAAGTGATAGCAAGATTCTTTAACAGCCCACTCTTTTTCTCCAAAGCAGTTTTTCTTTTACACATTTTTATGTGTAGTATTTTTTTACTATTATTTTAGTATTTTTATACTTATACTATTTTGTATTTGTTTTATATAAATAAAGCATCTGATATATTCTTACAGAGTATCGTTGGTTGTAAATTAGATATCTTTTAAGTGTTTTATACATTTCTGTCCTCATTAAGTAAACTCTACATGTATTGTGTTTGTGTTTGTGCAGCTTACATAAGGAGTCCAATCCTTGTAAAATCTATTGTATGTTTAAAGTTCTTCAGATTTCAAGCATACGTGATGCATAGCAGGCATGTCTTAGATATTCTTTTCCATTTAAGATTTCACCACAAGATACAATATTTCACAAGCAAACATTAAACAAGAAAAGGTTATTACAAGAATAACACCCAAATATAATGGACCTGGACAGGAATAACGTAAGGTAAAGATAATTTTTGTTCCTGTTCACATGGAGATGTGTTGTTGATAGTTCTTGTCTGGTACCATTTATGCAGCAAGCACTCTTTAAATTCCAGAAAGGGTGATAGCACTTTTAAATCACTGTGGAATAATGTTTTCCACCGCTAACCTGGAATTCACTAAACAGCAACAATGAACTATTTTGAAGAGATTGGTATTATTTAATAAAACTTGATACACTACTAGCCCACAAAATGATTTGTTTCTAAATGGCTACATGCAGAGTTAAAGTTTCCAGACAATTTGTACTACTGTTCAGAGCATTCCTTCATCATGCAGCTCACTGCATACAATTGACTTTTTTATAAACTCCTGCTTGTGATGTTCAAAAGCAAACCTGCAAGTATATTATGAGATATAAAGAGAAGGTCATTCAGCCCATTTTGTTTCGGTGGTAGTCTAGTAACTAAAAAACGATTTGATCAAAATCATTGGTATAGATTAAGAAGAGCAAAGGCCCTTAAATTGACCACTGAAGCACTCCAAAGCTTGCATCTGCCCAGTAAGAGGTTATGCCCCTTAAGATGACACAGTTTGTTAACCAGTTCTTTGATTCCTATGCATGCATTACCTTGTATCTGTGCTTTTTATATTTTCATTTTCTTTAATTTCACAAGGAATCCTAACAAAAGCTTCCTGGAAATCTAAATATATCATGTTATAAGACTCTCTTATTATTTTGCATGTCTTTTGAAATGCAATTGTTTTTTATGTATTTTTAAGTAGGACTTATAAGACTGTTTCCTGATTCAGTGTTGTCCCATTTTTTTAGAAATTAGACATTGCATTTTACATTTAAGAATTATTTTCCCACATTTTTAAACTGTAAATGCTTTTTAAGTTTGAATAATTATAGTTATTTGGGTTCACAGTTCTAATGGAAGCGACAGCTGATTTTTTCACAAACCTTCACCTCCAAAGCAACTAAACTTCAAATAGAACCTGTGAACTCAGATCTTCAATTTCCTACAGCGCATTCACCTGTCTAAGAAAAGCCTGCTAGAGCTCCCCAGCATACTGAATTTTAGACATGTCTAGACTGGTCCACCCACAAGCCTAGATTTTCTCCATTTACAAAACCTAAAGGAGTCATGAGTCTTGCTTGGCCAGTTAGCACAAGCTGTGGTATCTACTGCTAGGTGCTTAAGTATTAATCTTAAGGTACTTACAGAAATCATAAAATATGTATAAATCACTTTAAAACATGTGGTTTTCATTGCCTGTTCCCAAAACGTAGCCTAGTTTCCATGAAAACCAGACAGAAATGAGAAGGGCAAAAGGTCTCACTGGATGAATTAAACTGTCAACATCTTCCATGGCAAATCACGACACTTCTTTCAAGTCACGTAGGGTTAAGTGTTTTCTCCCATTGTAATAATGCCACTCATGGGAGGCTGAAACTGTCATAGTTCTTTCTGCTACAGCATCTCTTACACCACAATATACAGCAATTACTCTACTCCACCCTTTAGATCACTGCATAAGCTGCCAAGAAATTTACACACCGAGAAAATAACTTATCCGTTAGCACTGCAGAAAATGATGTTTTTTGTTGTATTCCTTTTATCATCCACATTTACAGTTAGCTGTTGTTATTTGATCATTATAATGGTGTTCTTCCAAATCTCCAAATGTGCATGACCTACTGTATGTGTGTCTTTACCCACATTGTTCTGAGGGCTGTCCACCATCAACGGTGAATTATATATCTGGGCCATAATGAAAGCTGAAGCTCACCTTCATTCCCACATTAGTGTTGTGCATGTTCATTCGCTCACGCAGGTCCTTATAAGACTTCTTGCTCAGGAACTCCTTGACAAATTTGTTGCTATACTTGAGATTGTCCCCACAGCCGCCCCATTGCCATGCCTTCCTGTTCTCCAGGTCAGGGGCCTCGTCACAGGTGCAACGCTCCATGCGGCCTGCACTACATGCCTTAGCCATGGCGTGAGTCAGCCCTGCCGATGAAATGGCAAACAGGAAGGCCGTCTCCTTGAACCCTGCACACAGGGAGAGAAAGACAGCTGTCGCTGGCATTGACCTCGAAAGGGACCAAATGCTGCCGATTAAGAACGGAAGCAAGCGAAGACTGCAAGTCAAATCTGAACCAACAGTAAATAAAAGCAATGAAAGTAAAAGAAATTGTAGGTCTCGATGATTTAGTTTTATAGTGCACATACACAGAGGTGTACAAAATCTTAAAAACCTGAGCGAAGACTTCCATAATATTGTAAAAATATGTCTTCACATTCCCTTGTAAATAAGTCAGTTGATTATAAATTATTTCTACAACAGCTTCTTTATTTAGAAGAGATATAACTGTCAAATGCCACTTGTCAAACCATATTTAATGGTTCAGTTATTTAATAACACTGTTGGGGATGCCAATGTTTATGCAACTGTATGTGGTATTTACTTTCTTGAAACTAAATCTGCATTTTAGATTCAAGAAAGCAAATGCCTGCATGAATAGGCACAACAGCAATGTATTTTGTGTCTCATTTGTACTGTGTATCAAGTTTCCTTTTTATTGCATTGTATTATAAACAAGATACAATTTGTTTAAAAATCATATGTTTTTCAAAGTACGGTTACTTATGAAAAATGCAAGTTTGTAGTTCTCTTGGCCCTGAGCTTTAGACCTCTGTAGGCATACTCTTTGGCTCTTGAACAGTTTTTGTTGGGTTTATTTTACCTCTTTTGAGCAGACTGGCTCGGTAGCGCCCCTCCAAGGTGCAATTCCACCTCTCGAATCTGAACTGGTACTGGCACTCCAGGGCACTCATGCTAATGGCCTCCATCAGGGTCTCAGCTACCCCAGGGTCCCGCCGGCACATCCTTCTCTGCTTCTTGTCCAACTTCAGCCGGTCACAAAGCTTGTAGTGTGCCTTGCCCAACGTCTCCTCAGGTTCTGAGCTCAGGGGCAAGATGGACAGGGGTTCCGTACCCGTCAGTCTGGCACCAAGAGAGAACCGTAAGAATGATTTTCACTTCATGCTTTTTTCGTTCTGTTTCAGGATAATGCAAGATCAAAACACTTCCTGAATGGAGGAATGTTGCTTCAAAGTCTTTTACATACTATTACAGAGCTTTCTGTGCATGACACCCATTGGTATTCTATAAATCTCAATGAAGTAGTTTGACAACTAATGGATGTGTGCTGCCAAAGTGGTGATTCTGAACCAGCACTGCAGCACGACCCAGCACTGTGGTCACAGTAAAGAAAGCTGTGTGTTACTCTCACAAATGCAGACTTAACTGTCCGTTCTTAACCATCCTCGGTCCCACTGACTGACAGTGTTGGCAAAGCAGCAGCTAATTATCTGCGATTCATGGATCTATTTTAATGTTTATAGTTCAGGAGGGGTGCATGGCATAAATAAATGCATCGGGAAAGTTCTCTTACACACTATTTAACAGGCACACATGTTATTTGGGAAAAATAAATTACTGCCATTTCGGCCTACAAAGATAAAATGGGCACAGTTATTATACATACTGTACACAGCAATGACTAAAAATAAAAACGAGCAAAAGCATCTAGAAATTTGGCCATCAAAAAATAGAACGCTTTTTTGAGCGATTTTACCTTGGTAAGACACAGTAAGCTGAAACCTCTTCATAAGGATACTAATCTTAACTGTTCTGCTAAGCATCAGTCAATCCATGTACTGAAAAACCCGCAAAACAGCACAGCAAAAAAAAAATTCTTGTCTTTTACTGAGGAGCATCAAAAACTGGCTAAACTGTAGATGACATCTAAATGAGAATTTGACCTAATGCTTTGTCGGCAAATCGCCCTACTAGAGGCCTGGTTCTCAGAAATCCTTTAATAAGAAAGTATGATGTTTATTTAAAAATTCAAGGATGTCCTAATGAAAAATTTAAGTGGGTACATTTTACTCATTTTTTAACCTCGTCTGATAGCTTAAAATTAATAATTGTCAAGACATTTTCAGTGTCAACAGTGCATGACTGTAACATTTTTTTTTTACCAATAAAGAATATCTGGGAAGTATCAAAGTCAAACAATACAAATTCAGTATAGGGGGGCATGAGTATATTCTGTGAGTACACAGTACTGTCTGACACAAAAGAACATGGTGGATAACTTTAAAAGGCTAAAGATATTTAGAGAACCTGTTAAAGTCTCACACGCAAAGACATAAGAAGAATCAAATCCCAAGATATTTCTGTCAAAGTAAATTGTAGGTGCCAAACTGGTTGTGTTAAGATTTGACAATGTAGTTGTAATTAGAGATTCAGTGAGTACTGTTTACGGTCTGTGACTTTACCACTTCATTTACTGCTTGACGTTTAGCACTTTTTTTTGAGTTCTTCAAGTTGAAAATACACCTTCCTAAAATAAATAGAAGGTAATTGCAGCAATATCCATATACATACAGAAGCAATTATCTTTAATGTGATGTGTTGGATTCCTTCTGCATCATTACAAATCAGGAAAGACATAACCTGCTCACTGTTATCAGTTATCTGTGAAGAACAGCATTTTTTCTAAAATAGACTTTTCCATACAGCCGTCTAAAATAGAAAATTATTTCTCCCTAAAACTATAATCAGGTTCTTGAAATTACCTCTCAACTTCCAATTTTTATATTAAGGGTTTTCCTAAGTAAATAGTTAGAACAACCTCTTAATGCAATTACAAAATATCACTTTGATGCCCATGTACTGCAAGTCATTGCCGTTTTCTTAACAATGTTACATCATACATGACACCACTTTGTTTTCAATGTAATATTAAGAATATGACACACAGCAATACATGTATATCAAATGCAAAATTAAATAAAGAACTATTAACAATGTAAATGATTTATAATGGACACAACATGCATTTACATCTAAAGCATACAGTAACTACAGTTGGGATTCACATCGGACATGTTAATCTCAGTGTGCAGCAGAACCTACAGTAATGAAAACACAAGGTCCACATCCCTCTATGTCTTCTGAATGTAGCTGAATGATCAGAGGAAATAATTGTCTAGAATCACTTCTCTATACTGTTATTTATGGCTTAAACAAATGTAACTGTGTTTGCCTGTAAGCAACAGAAAGAGACTCAATTTCCAAATCAATGTTAATGTTCGGCACAAACAATTCCTTAAATTGTGACATGTAACAGAATCCAAAAAGGCCACACTGACTGCTATATCTATGAGCCAGAGATGATCAGAAAGAAAAGAACAGATGGCTGGTACTAGCAGATTGAACTTCATGGAGGATTATTTAAAAACACTGCACCATCCACTTATCTGTCAAAATAGCAGATAAATTCATTCCTCTTAGATAATTTAAAGATTTTTCTCTGAAATGATTCCATGAATTGCAGAGTCTCTCAAGTCTAACTTTCCTGTGGTATACTCCACAAAACATTTACTGGCGTGCATGTGTTAAATGTTTCAAAAAATGTAACTTCCAATAAATTTGACAGACTAAACTGTCATTTCACCATGCACTGGTGACGTTAAAATTGCTAATCACCAGCCTACAACATACCCAAATTGCAGTGTTTCTGCAAACAATTTTAACCATAACCATTTTTGCACATTTTTTCATATACACCAATTGTGCGCATTTCTCTGTTTTGTGATGCTCATGAGATGGGTGAGTGAATTCGAACTGAATGCCCACTCTTTAGGCATCCTCTGACACCGGGTCACTTCCCAGACAGCAGAAAGTTCCACTATGCCAAAAAACCAAGCCTCTTGTTGCAGGAGAATTTAATGCTATTCGGATTCCTTGGAGATCGCATCATTGTAACAAGCTCAGATGAGCCTCATTAAACCTCTGACAAATTAAATGTATCATCTACAGATCCTTCCCAATATTTTGTAAAAAATGTGATGCTGCTATCTAAATAAACAGTACTGCCATCCATCTAAGCTAAAGGTTAAGAATTATTTACAACATCCTTGCTCAAAAGGAAGATGCAGTTTCAAATGACAGGTAAGCATAACACAACCTACAGTACTCTAACAATACTCATGATTGCAAATGTAATCATACCACTTCTGACAAGATATTCACCCTTTGACAACCGATTATTTTTACAACAGCTGAGAAAAACTGAATATGCATAGTAACTCTCTAGAGCTTACAAAGAAGCAACTAGAAACAGCTGTTTTTTCTGTTTTGAGTGTATTTTGGAGAGAAAATGACAAAACAAAGTACTTCAGTTGAGGAGCAGGTCACTTTCAGCAGTAACTTCAGTGAATAAAAGCATTCCTTCACTACAGAAGTTAGTAAAAAAAACTCTGGCCATTAAGAGTATGCAAAAGAAGCAGTGAAATCAATCGCAGATCTGTAAAAAATAGTTGAGAAAATGAGCATGGCCTGATGTTCAAACTGAAAAACCCACATATCCTTTCTCTGTGTGGCCATTAAAAGCAGTATTCTATTAAAAAAGAAAACTAAAAGAGGATAAACAGACATGTACATATGCAGGATGTGTGAACTTTATTTTATCGTTTAAGTAAACAGCATAGTTCTCCAGCAAACAGTGAGTCAAAGCCCTCCTCGTGAAACAAAGACAAGGAAGTAAAAGCCAAGAAACAACAGTGTTAAAACATAACACAACAGGTCTGTAAATTAATTTAGTTGTACAAAGACGTAAAAGGAAATTGTGCAATAGCACAGACATAACCTTCATTTACACTTGCGGGCTCTCTCATCTGTAAAATCTCCTGATGCCCCAATCTACTTATCACCTCTGCATCTCAGTCCATGTTGCATTGTATCTCATTACCAATAAAATCACCGAAGGTCAGATATATTGCTCTTTATCTCATTCTGAGACAGATATGAAGATACGTTACAAATTCAGCAAAATTCAATTCAATGATGGACTCCGTCCCAACACAATATTTAGAAAACCACAGTCTTATTTTAAAAGCCTATTCTCACTATTTTATTGGTTTGGTATGTACATATTTAAATACATTTTTTTGTTGAAATAGAGTGACTTTAAAGGTTATTCAGAGTTGTACCTGCTGCTGTAGTTGATAACATCTACTGTACCACTGTAAGAATGACAGCGGAAAAAGTCTATACAGTAGTAAAATACGTTGGCCTGTCCTGCACACACTTCAGAACCAGACTACTAGTAAGATACCCGTATAGCATGAAACAGTAACTAAAAATACACATACATGCACATGTGTGAGAGATGAAGAAGTGGAACAAATGGAAAAAGTGTTTCACCATTCACTTTAGGTCTGTGGGCATGTGTTGGATTTGTCATTCAGTGAATGAAGCTAAGACTAGTTAAGACGACCTGCCCCATTTAGGAATTCTAGCCTTCAGGATGAGATTCCTAATTCCTGTCAAGGCCAAATAATTTGTTTGCCTCTCCTCTGACACACCGATGCACTGCATTTGTTTGAAACTCATTATTGAATTACTGAATGGATGACTGGCATGTCATGTCTTGAATACAATTCTGTCCAGTTTATGCATCTGGGATTAATAAAAAGTAAACATTACATGCCGTTTTATTTTGTCTGTCGATGGTGGTTGAATTTATTAGTATTTCACCCTTCTGTGATTCTGAATATCTACATTAACTGAAAGCCAGAGTGGCACGAATATGTGTGGTGTTCATGTGTGGGATAAGTGTGGAATTCAGGGTGGTGAATATGTTGACTTCTTTTGCTATTTATTCATGAATATCTTGTGATATAATTTGTTTTAAACATTTTTAAAATATTGGTTTCTTCGTCTGATCTACAGTACTGTATAATGTGGGCCAGACAGCTAAACAATCAAGTTGAAATTAAAAGGTAAAAGCGTTTTCAAGATTGTGATTACTGATTGTTAAATCAGAAGCAAATGTTAACTAAAGCCTTCTTCCATGCATTTCATTACTATGATAAGGAAGTAATTATGTTTTACTTCATATAAGCATTAATGCTGATAAGAGACCCTTTTAA